CACAACGGATTACTACTGTCATAAAGAAGGACAAACTTGAGTTGTTTGTAGGAAAATGGATGCATGGTGAGATAAAAATGTTAAGTGAGAAAAATCAGACACACAGCTTAAATCCCACATGGCTCCTCTTATATAAAGAACAAAAAAATAAAGATAGAAAGGAGACCAAGTGGGGCTGGTGAGATCGCTCAGAGGCATAGGCACCTACCTGACAAGCACAAGGACCAGAGTTCGATCCCCCGCCCCACATGCAGTGCAGCCAGGTGCCCATGGTGTGGCCCTGGAACTGGGTGTGGTGGTACACGCCTGTAATCCTAGCACTTGGGAGGCTGAGTCAGGAGGATCTCTGTGAGTTTGTGAGCAGCCTGGGGGCTACAAAAGTGAGCATAAGGCCAGCCAGAACTGCATAGTGAGAACCTGTCTCAAACAAAAAGAAAGGAGACCAAGTGATGGAAGGAAGAAAAAGGGAAAAGGAAAAGGGAACATAAGAAGCATGAAGATGTGCTATGTATCTGCACCCACTCACATGATGAGTACAGTCATCAGGCAAACATGGACTAGCACAAAATTTTAAATACAAAAAGATCATTAACTGAAACTGAGAAGCATGAGGCTGGGAGTGGAGGCACATACCTGTAACATCAGCACTCAGGGGCCAAGGCAGAAGGATCACTACAAATCCAACCAGCCAGGTCTACAAAGTGAGTTCAAGGCCAGCCAGAACTGTATCATGAAACCGTGTCTCAAAAAAGACAATAAATACATAAATAATACTCTTTAAACATAACATTTTTAAGTAAAGTATAATTTTTAATTATTATAACTAGGAGAAGTTATAGACTTGGACAATCAAAAAATCGTGTGAAGCTGGGTGCAGTGGCACATCTCTGTAATCCTAGCTTTCTATGAGGATTACAAATTGAGTCAGGCAAGACCTTGTCAAAATAAAAGAGAACTGGGGTCATAGCTTGGCATGAAAGCTATGGGTTCAATTCCTAGTACCACAAGGGGAAAGATAACAACAACAAAAACAACCAACAACAACAAGCAAGAATACCTGCAATCCAAATCAAGAGCCACAACCTGGCATCTGGGACCATCTGGAGTGCTGAGCAGTGACGGGAAGCCGTGGGGGCTTCTCCCCTTCTCTCAGGCTGCAGGCCAAGCCGCATCTCTTGATGGGTGAGCAGCAGCTCAAATTCCCAGAAAACCACGAGCCTTACTGCAGATTTGAATGCAAAGGAGAAGAAGAGCCAAGACAGGGTTGCTATCGCTAGGAAGGAGCTGAAGACAGAGATTAACAAAGCAGAGAGGCGCATGCAGACTATCATAAATGCTTGCTTGATGACTCACATCAAAATACCATCAGGGATGCTGGGGAGATAGCTCAGTGGTCTAAGCCCCTGCCTGGCAAGTGCAAGGACCTGGCTTCGATTCCCAGTATTGCTTTATGCCGTCCCTGCCTGGGCCCTCCGAGCTGGCCACCAAAACTAGGCACGATGGCGCACACCTATAATCCCAGCGCTGGGGGAACTGAGACTGGAGGATCACTACAAGTTCAAGCTGCGTAGCAAGACTCTGTACCAAATGCATAAATTAAAAAAAAAAAAAAAAAAAAACAACTATCAGTGAGCAGCAAGGGACACTCACTGCATCCAGTGGCAGGCTTTAAGTTAAAATCCAACTTCTTTTAGAAAAAGTCACCACCAACAGCACATCTAAGTAAAAAAGAATGGAACACAAAATTTGCTTACTCACATAACACAATCAACCTGCTCAGTAAACTCAATCTGTCACCTTAGGGAAGAATGATACTGTGTTCAAGGCTTCAGATAATGTGGGTGAATTAAAGTCAAACTGGAATTATGGGGGCAACAAATGAACATTGGGATTTGCTGATATCTCCCAAACTTTAGCAGAGATTTTGAAAGAGACTGAACAAGGGCCTCTCTTCTCATGGCTAGTGCATGATCACCGATCTCCTCCCTGAAGAGTCTGAGCTTTATTTCCCAACCACAAAACCACCCCATGCTGGGAAAGAACGGATCCATGACCCACGTGTGAATAACCAGGAGAATCAATTTTGTCCATGCTAGAAGAGCATCGGTGGGCGGAGGTTATGATGATGGTGGTATCCTGGAGACCACTTCAGATGTCCCTATGTTCTGTATTTAAGTCAAGGCAGAATATCCTCAGATTGCTGGGGAGATAGCTCAGTAGAATGGCCTGAGTTCAATCCCCGGTTCCGCAAACAAACAAACAAAGAATATCCTCAGATTATCATAAAATTACTAAAAAGCCTGCTCCTTTTCCCAACATCTTATCTTTGTAAAGCAGGGTTTTCTGCAGCAGTGACAGCAATTAAAACAAGATCACAGAGCCACTGTCTAATTGCAAAGAAAAAGTCAGCACTCCCACGGATTCTGCATTATTGTGAGTTGTATAATCATTTCATTATACATTACAATAATAATAGAAATAAAGTGCATAGTAAATATAATGCTCTTGAATCATCCCAAACCTTCTCTCACTGTCCATGGAAAAGTTGTCTTCTATAAAGCCAGACATTGGTGCCAAAAACATTGGGGACCTCTGAGTTAAGTGAATTTCTACCTACAGATGAGTACAGCAAAGGTGGTAAGAATGAAGCTGCGTTAGAACAACCTGGAAGTGTCACGGTTTCCCCATCTGGCCACAGCACAGTTGTACCTCAGAAGCAGACAAGACTTCACAACCAGCAAATGCCTAAACAGACATGCTACACTGGAACTTCCATGCAGAGAATAGGATGACCAAAGAATTACTGTTAAATTTTAAATTGTTACCTTGATCTAACAGCTTTGCATTAAGCAGTTCTTACCTGTTAAAAATATATATTAGAATTATGCATAAAACATGATCAAGGATTGTTTTGAAATTAAAATATAGCAGGCCGGGGATTAGATCTCCGGGCCTGCTGTGCTGGCCCCACCCCCGGGGCACACTGAGACAGCAACTGAGACTGGGCGTGGTGGAGCACACCCATAATCCAAGCTCCTGGGGGGAGGCTGTAAACAGGCAGATCACTATGAGTCTGATCTAGTAGTGAGACCCTGAACATCCTGTAGACCCTTTCCTAAAATATACAAAAAAAAAAAAAAAAAAAAAAAAATTAAAATATAGCAAGGGTAGATGGTATGGAAGAGCACAGATGAAGTAAGGGTTTATTTGAGTGACTGACCTACCTACTGGTTTCACTATACTCTCCTCTGTTCATACTTGAAAATGTCCATAAAAGAAAGTAGAAAAGCAATTTGTCAACAACTTTCCCTAGTTACATGATTTGAAATGCAAAGTAAAGGTTATCAGAGTATGAGATTGTGTGTTAAGTTATTTTCATCACTGAGACAAAATACCCAACCACCCACAAGTTTGAGGAAGAAAAGGCTTATTTTTTTATTTATTTGTATTTTAGGGAAGGGTCCACAGTGTGTTCAGGTTCTCACTACTAGATCCGACTCTAGTGATCGAGCTGGGATTACAGGTGCGTGCCACCATGTCCAGTCTCAATCGTCGTCTCAGTGAGCCCCAGGGGTGGGGCTAGCACGGCAGTCCGGGGGACTGAACCCCCAGTCCCTGCGCGTGCTTGCAGGTGCTTTAATCTGCTGAGCTACTTGGCTGGCCCCAGAGTTTGAATTCTTAATAAAAAGGACCAAAATGTCAGAAATAAGCACAAAATGCTTTTGGTGTACCAAAATAATTATCACCCAAGTGAGGATCACAATAATTATGCAATTACCTTCAGGTGAGGATTACAGTGAAGAGTTAGCTGACTCATGCTTCAGACAGAATGCTAATACAGGTTGAATGCCTCTAATCCAAAAGTTCAAAACCTGAAATGCTCTAAAATCCAAACCTTTTTTGAGTACCAACAGGATGAGGTCATTGTAAAAATTCCACAGGTGACCTCACTGGATGAGTCTCAGGCAAAATGCAAGCACTGCATAAAACCACCTGCAAGGTATGTGTATGAAGTGGACATGAGACATACCTGAATTCTCCATTTAAATTTGGATCCCTCCCCAAGATGCAAATACTCCAAAATCTAAAAAGTCCAAAATCTGAACCCCCTCTTGGCCCTAACCATTTAAGCAAATGGTAACCAACTCATACATGTGGCTACTAGGCATTTCAGCCCACTGCCAGAAAACAGACAGAAGGCTGATAGAGGAGACATTGCTGATGGCCACACAGGCTGGAAAAAGGGAAACCTGCTGTGCAAGACATGGAGTTTGCCACTAGTCACAACTTTACGGAGAGGAATGACCAGTGTGTGGTGCAAAGGCCATGCGTGGGCTTTGGAGTCAGAGCCGAAATCCCATAGGTACTTACTTGCTATACGAACCTACTGAACTGCTTAACTTCACTTTTCTCTTTGGAGAAATGACAAGTAAGGCTGGCTGGACCTCAGGAGGCTTGCACTGGTGATGGGAAGGGCTGTCATTCTTAATTGTCTGGAAGCTGGTTTTGTAACTCCAGCCAATAACGTGGCCTACAACTCATGAGAGACCCTGAACCACAGCCACCCAGGTGAAAGGCTCCCCCAAAACTATGAAGGATAATGTTCATTGCACTACAGTTTTGGAGTAATCTGTTATACAACAACAGAACAGAAATACTTTTTCTAGGGTACAACTGTCTGTTAATTGGCTGGCTAATTTTTTTCTAAATATGCAGGAATTAAGACTCTGTTCTGTAAACTAGATAACACAAGATTATCCTTCAATTCATCAGAACCGCGGGCTGGTCACCTTAGAGTATCATGCAGGATATAAAGCAGGACACTGAAGTCAGCATAGACCCTTCTGAAGCTGACCACAGAGGTGAAAATCCAGAGTGTGCCATGACCTGCACTGCAGGGTCTGAGGTTTAGCAGCTAGTCCTCAGGCCCTGCCCTACACTGTACACACGCCCTTTGCACCTGTGGGCTCCCAGCCATGAGCGACCCGACGCAGTCCCACCTGGATGAGGCACTTGCTCACGTCGCTGGCACACAGTGCTTTGTTGCAGCCCAGAGACCCGGGAAGCCACAGGAAGAACATCAGCCCGGCCAGCACCAGTACTGCCACACAATGGGACTTCATGATTCTCCCAGGAGATGATGACAAACTCCCAGCAAGCTGGACACACACAGAAAACATCTTTAAATCAAGCCCAAGTGGGAGGGGGGAAACGGCACCAAAAACACCAACAGGTACACCAAGGCTTTATGTCAAAAGACTGATTATTCAATTTTAATTTTAGGTTATTACTATTCAGCTTTAAACCCACATGAAAACCAATATTGCATTATAATTTAAAAACCCTTTCTAAAAACTAAAACAAAACACTTTCTGCTGGTGTGTCTTATGCCAAGCACTCTACCATCAAATTATGCCCCAAGCCCAATTATTTAAATATTGGAACTGTGGAAAACCTTTTCATGATTATGTGCGGCTATTTTCTCTGTTAGTAAAATACAGTGGCTATAAGAAAGGAGTCCACAGTCACTACTTAACTAATGAGCCAGGGGACTGGGGGGGATGGCTCAGTACAGTAAGCACTGGCCTGGAAAGCCAAGGGCCTGAGTTCAATTCCCGGTTCAAAAAAAAAAAGAGCCAATAACAATGGGAGACGGCTAATTATTAATTGCCTTTATAGCTGAGCAATTTATTAAATGTGAAGCTACCTTTTTAACTGTTATACGCTTCAAAGTTAGTTAGATATTATACTTCAAAAAAAAAAAAAAAAAAAAGATATTATACTTCAAGAAAAAAAAAGGCCAGCACAAATTCTGGCAGAGCTTAGCGAGCCAACCCGGTGATTCAACTTTCACGCGCGAAGATGCAATGTCTCGGTGCTGAACGCCCCCCAGGGCCAGCGGCGTGACTCCCGCGGCGGCGCGAAGGTCTGCGTGCGGCCTCGGCGCCCGACCAGGTGCCGCGCGCAGGCAGGAGGCGCGCCGCAGGTGGGCCGACCC